AAGAAAATAGGCCAGGACCAAAAAAAGGTAAAGCCATTTGTGACTGGGGGGGATCAGAGAAGAAGGAATCTGAGCTGGGTTTACAGAGTGGAGGAGGGAAGGGTGCCTAAAATGGTCATTAAAACCGTGGGGATGGAAAGGAGAAAGAAGGGTGGGGGTGGTGGAGGGGGGAAAGGAACATTTCAAGGAATAAAAGCAATAAAGAGAGAGGTTTTGAGGTTGAAAGGGAAGAAAATATGAGAGTGAGAATCTGGAAGGGAAGGGAGATGTTGGGGAATGAGCTCAATAAGGAGAAGGGTCTCAAGGTTGGACAAAGACACAATAAAAGTGAGAATGTCAAATGGAGGGATATTTAGGGTATATTTATAAAATATCCCTCCCTTTGACATTCTCACTTTTACTATATCTTTGTCTTCCACTGGCTTAATCCTTCTCCATTATCTCAACCTACTTCTTCTGTCCAGTGGAAGAGACACCAAATTCAACTCAACTCAATTAATGAAGCACTTCTAAAATTTCCTATTTATGTCAGACTAGTGCCTATACCAGGCAGTGATAACACAAGGACAAAAAAAATTAAATTTTTAATGGTTTAAAATTTTAATGGTTCCTGCCTTCAAGGAACTTACAATCTCCTGTGGGAAGGAGAAGAAGACATACACATACACATACACACAAACACATATATGTAAGTAACTAAAAAATAGGGCAGCTAGGTGGTGCAATGGATAGCGTGCTGGATCTAGAGTCAGAAAGACTCATCTCCCTGAGTTCAAATCCAGCCTCAGACACTTACTACCTGAGTGACCCTGGGCAAGTCACTTAACCCTCCTTGCCTCAGTTTCTTCATTTGTAAAATGAGCTAGGGAAGGAAATGACAAGCTACTACAGTATCTCTGCCAAGAAATCCCAAATGGGGTCACGAAGAGTCAGACACCATTAAAAACTGAAGTTTCTTGGGCTAGGGTGGTAATTGGTCAAGGCTGATTTTATCCATTTTGCACAGTGTGGAAGATAGATTGGAGAGAGGAGACCTGGAAGGAGATAAAACAATGAGCCTACTGCAGAGAGACCACCTCCCAAGAGGTAATAAAGACCTAATTCAATCAATCACCAGCATTTATTAAAGTGTTTACTGTATGCCAGTACCTGCTTCAGTACCCCTCCCATAGAACTCACCACCCATCATTATTCATCTCTTCTGACTCTTACTCGGGAGGGAGAGAATAAGCATTTATTAAGGGCCTCCTGCGTGCCAGGCACTGTGCTAAGGCATTACACATATCTCATTTGATCCTTACAACTCTGGGAGTTATTATTTCTTCCTTTTATAGCACTTAGGAGGAAACTGAGGCAGACAAAGGTTGAGTGACTTGCCTGGGGCCACATAGCTAGTGTCTGAGGCTGAACTTGAACTCAGGTCTTCCTGACTGCAGACCCAGAGTTCTATCCCACTGTGACACCCAGCTGCCTCAATAGTCTAGTGCCAGACACCACCCTGGGTCCTAGCTAAAATGCTACCTTCTCCAAGAAGTCTTTGAGACCCCCCTAAAAGCTAATGTTTTCCCTCTGAGATTGTCCCAAATCTAGCCTGTATTTATCCTTTGTTTGGATAGCTGCAAACCTAGTTGTTTACATATCGTCTCCTTCATTAGACTGAGACCTTCTTGAGAAGAGGGACTGTCTTTTGTCTTTTTTGTGGTTGTTCAGTCATTTTCCAGGCAAGTTGGACTCTCCATGACACAGTTTGGGGTTTTCTTGGTAAAGATATTGGAATGGTTTGCCATTTCCTTCTCCAACTCATTCTATACATGAGGAAACTGAGGCAAACAGGTTTAAGTGACTTGGCCAGGGTCACCCAACTAGTAAGTTTATGAGGCTGAATTTGAATTCAGGTCTTCCTGATTTCAGGAAGATGCTCTATGCACCTTGGCGCCACCTAGCCGCCCCTTCTCTTTTTGTATCTTTATCTTAGTTCAGGGCCAGGCACGTAGTAGGTATTTTAAAAATGTCTGCCGAATTGACTTAAGTGGTGGTACGCTCATACCTGGTATACACCTGGTATACAAGGACAAAAAAAAAAGGAAACCTGAACTAGAACACCATGAATGGATGGACAAGATGGATCAATGTGAAAGATGTCTCAGAGAAAGAATTGACAGGTTTTGGATACTGACAAGTCATTGGCTCTGGTAGGGTGAAAGGCAGTGTGACATTAGGATGCCGCTGAGGTTGCAAACCTAGGTGAACAGAAAGATGCTGATGCTCATAACAAAAAGAAGAAAGGTCTAAGAAAGGGGATCCGTGGGGGGGGAGATGGGGAGATGGGAATGGATTCTGTTTGGGATATGCTAAGTTTGAGATGTCTGCTAGACATCCAAGTGGAGATGTCCAACTGGCCACTGGAAAATGTGGAAAAAGTGGGACACTGTAGGAAGTCCCAGGAAGTAAGAAGTTTGTTATGTGGTTCTCACGTGTGTGTGTGTGTGTGTGAGCGAGAGAGAGAGAGAGAGAGAGAGAGAGAGAGAGAGAGAGAGAGAGAGAGAGAGAGAGATAGTGAAAGAGAGAGGGAGAAAGAGAGAGAGAGACAGAGACAGAGAGACAGAGACACAGAGAGATAGAGATAGATAGAGAGAGAGAGAGAGAGAGAGAGAGAGAGAGAGAGAGAGAAGAGAGAGAGAGAGAGAGACAGAGAATTTCATTTGGGAAGAGATCTGGAAACCTCCAGCCAAATGTCAACATGGGCAAAGACTGTGGCAGGTACACCTAGAATCCCTGTTCTGAGTTCTTTCTCCCCATTAAGTGGTGCCTCCTTCATTTGAGCTAAAGAAATGAAGCTCTAACTATAAGTTTTCAGGCATTTGGAGTATGGATAGTGGGAAGCAAGAGCCTTTCCTGGGTTCTGCAGCATTTTGTCTGAGTCCAACTTTTACAGAACACATCATTTTAATCTGTGAAGTTTGGATTCCGTCAAAGGGCCATGCCTGAGGACCTAGAGGGTCACACATGACCTAGAGGCTGAAGGTGTTCCACCCCTGTTCCAGACACAGTTAGCTGCTGTAGATAGAAAGAAAAATCTGCTATCCTTGCCCTCATGGAGTTCATAGTCTCTTAGGAGAATGAGGGATACAGGGGAGTGGAAAGTTCTGGATGAAGAATGTTCAGGAAGACCTAGCTTCAAATCCTGCCTCAGACCTTTGCTTGCTGTGTGACATTGGCCTCAGTTCCCAGTCTCTGAAAGGAGGAAATTGGACTGGATTGTCTTTCAGATCTCTTCCAAGTCTAAATAGATGATCCTCCTGAGCACCTGAAGGGGCAGGCACCTGTTGTTTGCCTTTCTTTGCATCCCGAGGGCTAGCACAGTGACTGGCATATAGGGAGAATTTAAGAAATGCCTGCTGACTTAGCTAGGGTCATGATCCTGAGGTCTGGACTGAGAGCTATAAGGGAGGGACAAGGAGTAGGAAGATGTAGCTGGGGGGTCTAGGGAAGAGGAAGGTCCAGTTTAGGAGGTCTACTAGAAAAGGAGGGGTGGCCAGGGAGCATATGGGATGTAAAGGGTGGCCAAGAAGGTTAGGACAGACAGAGGTCTAGAGGAGGAGAGTCTGGTTGGGGGGCAGAGTGGGGGGTCCAAGGGAGGAGGGTCGGGGGAAGAGGACTCGGGGAGGAGGGTATGAGGGGATCCGAGGAAGGAGCGCCTGTCTTGGGTCAGGGTCCGAGGGAGGAGGGTCTGGTTGGCGGGGGGGGGGGGGGGGGGGGGCGCCAGAGGACCCGGGGAAGAGGGTCTGGGGGGGACCTAAGGGAGGAGGGTCTGGCTTGGGGCGGGGTCCGAAGGAGGAGGGTCTGGGACTAGGGTCTGACAGGGGCGGGGGTCGAGGGAGGAGGGTCTGGTTTGAGGCGGGGTTCCGAGGGAGGAGCGCCTGGCTTGGAGCAGGGGTCCAGGGGGAGGTCTAAGGGAGGAGAGTCTGGCTTCGGGCGGGTCCGAGGGAGGAGCGTCTAGCTTGGGGCGGGGGTCCAGGGGAGGAGGGTCTGAGGGTAGGGGGGGCATCTAAGGGAGGAGGGTCTGGCTTGGCGCGGGGTCCAGGGGGAGGAGGATCTGAGGGGGTGGCTCTAAGGGAGGAAGGTCTGGCTTGGGGCGGAGGTCCATGGGAGGAGCGCCTGGCTGGGGCGGGGGTCCAGGGGTCCGGGGGAGGAGCGCCTGGCTGCGGCGGGGGTCTAGGGGGAGGAGGGTTTGAGGGTCGGGGGGGGTCTAAGGGAGGAGAGTCTGGGACGAGGGTCTGACCGGGGCGGGGGTCGAGAGAGGAGCGCCTGGCTGCGGTGGGGGTCCAGGGGTCCGGGGGAGGAGCGTCTGGCTGCGGAGGGGGTCCAGGGGTCCGGGGGAGGAGCGCCTGGCTTGGGGCGGGGTCCGAGGCACGAGCACCGCCTCCTTCGAGGAGGGCGGGAGGCTCGGGCGGGCTTTGCCAGCGCGGGGAGCCGGGCGCCGCGTCCTCCCTCCCTGCAGGGGGCGCTGTGGGCGGGGCCGGGCAGCGGGGCGGGCGGCCGGGGCCCCTCCTGCCGAGCTCGGCCCCTTTTCCGGGTTTCCTCCGCCGCCGCGGCCGCCGCCTCCACCTCCTTGGCCTCCGCCGCCGCGGCCGCCGTCGCCGCTCCTCCTCCCCGCCCGCCTCCTGCCCTTCTCCCGGCCGCCCCCGCCGGTGAGGCCGCCGCCGAGGAGCGCGGGACGCGAGCGGAGCGGAGCCGGGGCCGCCGCGGAGCCGCAGCACGAGCGCCCTCCCGCCGCCGCCGCCGGCCCGCCCCGCCCCGCCCTCCGCCCGCCGGCCGCTCCAGGGCCGGGGCGGCCCGGCCAGGCCGGCCCCGCCGCCCGCCCCCGCGGACCCGGCCTGGCTCCGCCGCCCGCCTTCGCCGCCCTCGCCTGCGCCGCCGCCTCGTCGCTGCTGGGGCTCCTGCGCTCGGCGCCCCGGGGCCGCCGCCTGCTGCTCCTGCCGCCCGTGCCCTCGTCGCCGCCGGCCAGCGCCCCCCGCTGCCGCCCGGCGCCGCCCGCCATGCCCGGCCCGGCCGCCGGGAGCAGGGCCCGGGTCTACGCCGAGGTGAACAGCCTGAGGAGCCGCGAGTACTGGGACTACGAGGCGCACGTTCCGAGCTGGGGGTAAAGAAGCCGCCGCCGCCGCCGCCGCCCCGGGCCCATGTGCTCCGGGCCGCCCCCAGCTCCGCGGGAGGAGCGAGCGCACGGCCGGCCGGGCCCCGGCGGGGCGAGGCTGGGCTGGGCGGGGGGGGGGCCGAGACCCCGAGGAAGGCCCCCGGAGGGGGAGGGGGGGCTGCAGGGGGTCCACTTGTGCGAGCCGGCCCATTCCTGCCCCCTTCCGGCGAGGGTCAAATAGAGCCGGGGCTCCCACCCCCTCCCAGTGGAGCGAGGGTTAATGAGAATCGGGGTTCTTGCCTCATTCCCCCTTCCCACTGGGGTGAGAATCAGTTAGAGTTGGGGTTCCCATTCCCCCCCATGGAGTGAGTCAATTAGAGTCAGGGTTCTTACCCTACCTCCCCCTCCCAGTGGGGTAAGGGTCAAATAGAATCGGGGCTCCCACCCCCTCCCAGTGGAGTGAGGGTTAATAAGAATCGGAATTTTTGGGGTTCCTATCCCATCCACCCATGGAACGAGTCAATTAGAATCAGGGTTCTTACCCTCGCCCCCCCTCCCAGTGGGGTGAGGGTCAAATAGAGTCGGAGCTCCTGTCCCCTCCCTCCCCGAGTCAATTAGAGTCGGGGTTCCTATACCATCTCCCCTCATGGAGCAAGTCAGCTAAAGTCGGGGTTCTTATCCTAGCCCCCCCTCCCAGTGGGGCAAGGGTCAATTACTGTCAGGGCTCCTACCCCATTCTCCCCACACCCCTGGAGTAAGTCACGGGGTTCTTACCCCCTCCCCATGGAATGAAGGTTAGAGCTGGGGTTCTTACCCTATTCCCCCCTCCCAGTGGGACAAGAGTCAGAGTTGGGGTTTTTACCCTAGCCCCCTCCCAAAGGAGCAAGGGTTAATGAGAATGGAGTTCTTACCCCATTCTCCACTCCCAGTAGAGTGAGGCTCAAATAGAGTTGGGGTTCTTACCTCCTCCCAGTGGAGTGAGGGTCAATTAGAGTCAGTTTCCTACTCCATCTCCTGCCTCCCGTTGTAGGGAGTGTCATTAGATAGAGTTGGGGTACCTATCCCAACTCTCCACCCAATGGAACAGGTCATTTAGAGAGATTTGGGTTTCCTACTCCCTTTTCCTGCAGTGTAGCAGGTCAGTTAGGGTCAGGTTTGGAGCAAAGTTAGGAGAGCCAGGGGGAGGCTTTGACACTCATTTGGGGGAAGGAATTATGGCTGAATGCAGTTCCAGGGGCTCCATCTGGATGAAGTGTGTGTGACAGAGATTAATGAATTAGTTGACACCAAACCACGGTCACTCAGATGTGTCTCTTGCTCTTCACAGTAATCAGGACGATTACCAACTGGTTCGGAAACTTGGTCGGGGAAAATATAGTGAAGTGTTTGAGGCCATTAACATCACCAACAATGAGAGAGTGGTTGTAAAAATTCTCAAGGTGAGTCACTGTCCTGTTGATGGTACTCTTGTGATTATTATAATAAGAGCAATGACAGCTGATAATTCTATAGCTTTTGGAGGTTTGCAAAGCCATTTACATGTCTTATCTCATTTGAGCCTCGCCATCCTTATGATAGCATGAGCTGTTTACCCATTTTGCAGATGAGGAAATTCAGACTCATAGAGGCAGGATCACATAGCTAGCGAGTGTCTGGGGCAGAAGTCTAGCTTGAGTCTTCCTAATTCCAGGTCCAGTGCTCTATCCACACCACCACCTAGGTTTTAAATTTTATCTAAAATTTCATGTTAGTTTTCTAGTTCACAAGGGAAACATTTACTACCACCTTCCAGAGTAAGAAGTGATGTTTGACTATGCAGAAGATCTTATCTTTGCTTTCCATCCAACTAAAAATCTTCCTCCATTAATCTTCCCCATCCCATTTTCTATTCACCACCAAAAAATGACGAACTAGGGGTAATGTTGACAAAATCTAAACATGGTGTTTTAGGAATGGACCTGTTACTAACATAAAGATTCTGGGTCCCCCTAGCAAACATCTCAGGTGGAATTCCGTTACCTGTTTTTCAGTTGCCAGGTCAGTAAATCGCCCTCAGTAACTAGTTCCTTTATTTCCTGGGCCTTCCTTTGGGCAAGGTTTACTTGAGCATTATTTATGTTTAATGGATGTTTTTATTCATTTGTAAGAGGAAATTTCATCTGGCATTGAGATGGATTCAAAGGTTGAGTGATGCTGGTCAGAGGTGGGGAAAAAAAGGCCACATAACCATAACCTGTTCATTTGGCTGTGGGGATGATGTGCTGTGAGGTCATGATCTTGTGTGTTGGGATGTTTATTATTAGTTTGTCAGGAATGGTAGAACACGGACTCATTTGGAATAGGTCTTGACACTAACAACAGGAGGAGCCCTCTGGAATCAAATGTTGCCTCTGTGGTGGCTGTTTTCCTGGCAGAAATCAACACTACAAAAGAATGGAGCTAAAACAACAACTTGAGTATGGCATTTTTAATGGAGGATGTAGTGACGTGCTCTTATAGCCATGGACCTTTTTGTTAACTCTTACATAACCCACCTAGGGTAATTATCCCACAGCATAGCCAGAACAAACAGAAATACTGGACTGAAATTTCCCAAGTTGATAATGGAACTGGCTCTTGATAATAATGTTTGATAAGGGGCACAGCAGAGAAACTCTTGGAATCTAATGCTCATGGCAGGTCAGTTCTGATTTATTCAAGTAATTATGAAGAATAAAGGGAATTAAGTGAAATGAGCTCGGCTGGTAGCTGTGCCTTCCTGGTCCAGTAGCATTTTGAGTAGTTTTGCAGACTAAGAGTATGATTAAAACATTTTTTCATATCTTAGTGTTAGTACTATCTATGAATGATGATCCTTGTTTGGTGTGTATTCCTGAGTTTCTACTCTGGCAGTATTGAGGGGGGGAATGGTTTCCCAACAGTGATCCATCCTTCTGCTGGAGGAGCAGGGACATGTGCCATGGCACAACGAGGGAGGGCCGATGATAGATTGAATTTTACTTTCCTCTTTGTGAACACAAGGGATAATCATAATGCAAGCAGTTTTTAAACAGACACACACTATCTTTTGTAAGTATTGGCCTCTTCAAAGTAGTCATCTTTCGAGTTATAGACATTTTTTCTAAGGATGTTCCCACTGTACGAAACATTTTAGAAACTTCTTGAGATTGCATCCAGAACCAGCTGTGAGCATGACCAAAAAAAATCAACCTTATTTTTCTACCTCTTTTTTTTTAAGATTTTTTTTTAACCCAAAATGCTGTTCCCAAACTTGATCACCCACCCTCTTTCACTTGAATTGGCTCCACATGCCTTTTGGTTATTTTCTTAGCTATTGAGGAGGTTTGTTCCAAAAGCCTTTTTTAGTTTCCAAAAGTGTTTTGAGCAAATGGCAACTTGATTGGAATATGTATGTAGTATCATAAGGTTAACCACTTTGAAGAATCTGATACTTGTTGGCAGACATATCTTACCTGTAAATTGAGGAATGTTTATTTCAAAAATCAGTTTTGTTTAATAGTCACACCTTATAATAATTCTGAGTAGTGGCTTCACTGGGCAAATTATACCCACCCCCCCCCAACAAAACTAACACTTGGCTGTTGGTTCTCAAAATAGCTTAGTGAGATGGAAGCTCTGCACCCTGTTTTTACGGGTGGAGAAGCTTGCCAGAGGACTCTCTTTGTGTACCTGAAAGAGATGCAGTACACTGAGGTTTGCTGGGTTTTAGGCTAATGCTTTGTTTACCAAGCTGCAGTGTCTCTGGCTTCCTGACCTAGGATCAGAACACTAGATGATGTTGAGGACCGTGTCAGATTAAGAGCTGGTTCTGGGGTTGATGGGAGCATTGGCTAAGTATCCTTTGGATGAGAACCTCTTGACAAACACGTTTTCATCAGCATGGGGTCAGGATCACCTTGCCTCCCTTTGTGAACACTAATCAGCACAACACATTACACAAAATCCTGACATTTTATGCCTCTTTACCTGCATGGGTTGAGAAACCACAGTGAAGTTAGTGCTTTTTCATTGTATGTCTGACAGGCTGGATTCAAGTTGGTGTAAGTGACTTGAAAAACATTAGAATCTTTGTTTTTGAAATGCCCTACTATATCCAGATAAGGTATAGTTGACATTCCTCCTTTTTGGGTGTGTCTTCTGATAATCGATTAGAGAAGAGTCAAGTCTGTTGTAAATGACTAACTGCATTTAGTACTGGGGGGACCTGAGAAAAGCTGCCTCTTTCAAATAATCCTGCTGTGAGTTAGCTACAGCTGGAAAATGAGTGAATTTAAGGGAAATGCACAAAATGATAAGTCAATTCCTTAAGAAAAGAGCCTACCTTTTTCAGTATTCTGTAAAGTGAAGAGGACCATGGATATTTGGAAGGCAACTCAGAGGCCGTGGAATCTAACCTCCTCATTTTACAGATGAGGAAACTGAGACCTAGAGAGGAGGGACTTACCAAGGTCACACAGAGTGAATGGCAGAGTTGCTCAGTTTCATTTTCAGAGGCAGCATCAGGAAGCACCTGTGTTCAGATTCTGCCTTTGACACTAGCCGTGGGACTCCACGCATATGTTTGCTTGTTCTCTTCTCCTTTAGATGGTGAGCTCCCTAGGGGCAGAGACCATCTTTCTTTTAAACCCCAGCACTTAGCGGGGAGAATGGTGGTACATAGCAGGTGGTTAATCAGTGCTTATTGACTGACTTACCCTGGGTGAAACCACTTGACCCCTCTTACCCTCAGTTTCTCTATCTGTAAAATAATGATAATAGCATTTTCCCTCCTGGAGTACATAAGATCAAATGAGATAATTATGTAAAGTGCTTTCCAAACTGAAATGCCACCTTAGTGGGAGCTATCATTATGAACAGAACCTACTGGATTTACTTCTGTAGGTCCTGTGCATAGTCTGCTGCGCCTCGAGGCCACATGTAGCCTTCTAGGTCCTCAAGTGTGGCCCTTTGACTGAATCCAAACTTCACAGAACAAATTGCTGGCTCTGGCCCCACACGGTGCAGCTTCCATCAAGAAGACCTGGATTTGAGCCCCTCCTTGGGCACATCCTGCCTCTGGGACTCTGGGCAGGGCTTTTAGGACGGCTTGTGCCCATTGGACTCTACTGCTTGGTTTCGGAAGAACAGGTGCTAATCTTGGAATTCCTGTACCGGGAGTTCTCTGTGTTGGTGAAATCACAAGTATAGTTTGATCTGGATTTGTAATGCTCACCTGTTGTCTCTATATGCAGATCCTAACCGTGTGTGTTAGGATTCTGAACTGAGGAAGTGAAAAGTCCACCCCCCCCATCAGTCAGTGGGGCATGATTAAAAAGAAAAAGCCCAATAACTCAGCAAGCTCGCATGGCCCCCAAGGCACAAGAAGAGCCCGGGAGGGTTCTGTACCTTTTTGTTTGATACAGAAGTCTGTGAGAGAAGCGGGGGTGATGTATATAAAGGAATGGTGGGAGAGGTGTGCCCTAGATTTCAGTTGACCGGTATTGAGCAGCACCTGTGTGAATTGGCATTCCCATAGAGCACTGACAAAGACATTGTCCTTGCTGAACATTGGGAGGAGAAATTTTTAGAAACACTTACACGTACAGTGGCTGGGAAATTGTTGTTTTAAAATTGTCTGTGAATTGTCTTCTTGGTAACAGCTCAGCTGACTAGTGTTTCTGTTGGCTTTCTGAGCACGTGACCATTTTTTTACAGAGATGGTAGGGATCCTGGGGGGGTTCTCTCATAAAGGGTGAGAAGCCTGCCCCTTCCCTACCTGCTCGAGTTAGTGGCTGTTGGTGGCTTGAGAGCTGGGCCACCTTCCTCTTCCGAGCCCTGCGTGGTCCTTTTCCTCTTTTATTTTCCCTGATGATAAGTTCTCTCCTTTACATTCACACAGGCAACGAGTTATATAGATCAAAGGCTGTCTCTCTCTTCCCCTTCCCCCGGCAAGATATTCAGGCTGTATCTCTTTGAATCTGTTGTGGAGTCTTGTTTTCAAAAAATCTTTTTCTCCAGGCAACCCTTTAAGACTGCACATTGCAGTGTTCTGATAGTATTGTCAGGTTTCAGAGTGACGCTGCCCTGGATATTTTTAAACAAAATTTCATAGATACTTGGCAGAATACGGAACCACGTATATGAAATATGGTGTGTATTTAGATTCTTAAAGTAATCGATTCTCCGTGGTTAGTTACTTTGGGAGTTGGAGGAGTTCTTATTGATTCTGTTGGACCTGAAGTCTCAGAATTGTGGACTCCCAGTGCCGGGGAAGGCCTTTGGAGTCACCGAGTCCGAGCCCTGGTCTTCGAGGTGAGGAAGCCATGCCCAGGGGCACCTTGAGGACCTGGAGGTCTCTCCTCACGTGGTAAAGTTGTCACAATCCTCTTTGGTTTTTTAGTACAAATTCCAAAAACAACTTTCATTTTACTCTGTGAAA